GGCAGAATTGGACGGTGTTACGAAAAGGAATACACTCCTTCTCACCTCACTCTGTAGTAAACATATCTTGGTAGAATGTCCCCGAAGAAAGTCAAGACGGCACTCTGAGAGTCTCCCAACATCCGAGCGTCGACCAGCGTCACGCTCTGGGTGCGAGAACGGATGCTCGCTTCGATGGTCTCAGACGGGGTGTGCGGCTCTATACCGTGAATAACACCTTTTTTGGTTCCTTCACCTGCCGTAACGTAGACGTTGACCGGGTGTGGTCTTCCGTTGATAGTCAAAGACGTGACGCCTCTCATCGCCATCGCGACGGTCGTGTCTGGAGTCGACGCTAGCGCAATGTTGGACCCCGGTTGGATGCGGAGAATAAACTGATCCCACCTGACTTTTCCTTGGCAAGCCTCCACTATAGCGTCGGAGATCGCTTGGGTGGTCACATTCTTCAGAGGCAGTCCCTGGTGAGGTCGGAAGACTACTTTCAGATCGTCCTTGGGTAGTGCTGGGGGCCTCCGTCTTGCAGGTCGACCCCGGTGCTTTGGCTGGTTGTCCGTCGTAGGTCTGCTGCCTGCGGAGAAGTCCCCTCCTTGTTGAAATTTCCGCTCCTTCGCCTGTTTCTTCTTCGCTCTGAGCGATTGGGATATTTGCCATCCCTCCTTTGTGCGGTCGGTCTCCGTTGGGGCGGAAAAATCTGCGGTGGCGTGCGTGGACGCCGCGTTGCAGTTCCCAGGCAGTGCTGCTTCATCCCGGTTTTGCGCGGCAAAGTCCGTGACTTCTTCACCCAAACCTGGTTCGGATTGTCGTACGAACGCTGTTTGCGACTCCCCAGTCGAGTCCATAGCCGTCAGCAACCGCGGCAACGCCGTGGTTGTCGTCTTCGGGCGAGCGTCTCCCGGCGTCGTCGCCGCCGCTCCTCTACTGGACGCTAGAGGTAGCGAAGGCTCCACATAGGCGAACGAAGAAGTGGCCGTAAAAACAAGAAAAATGGTCCGATTTCAGTGAAACTTGAGTCCACCGATACCGGAGCATCTCCCCTACACGCCTGTGGCAATTTATGAACGATTCAAGGGTTGAACCATACAGAAAAGACAAGAACATACGGAGCTTGATGTGCACGCGTCTGCACTCATCGGCATCCCAGCAGCGTCCTCAAGGTTCAGCGTTCATACTTGTGCGATTGTCAATTAAAAAGCAAATATTGCGCTTATCTGAGGCAACATAACAACACCTCACTATTATGTAGGTGTAAGATTTGCTAGAAAAGGCATACATAAGTAACTCTAAAGACCGTAGCGTTTATCACGCTGCGCTGAGCATGCAACGCTTGCACATAAAGGCCAGTGTTTCCAACGCTTTCCTAAGACGACATGGTGGTGGCACCTACCCATCGCCTTGCGTTCTAGACCTTATCCCTTCAGAGACGGGTGCGCATGCCGCGCGACCCGTTTTCCAAGATAACTGCCAGTTAGCGCTCATGTCTCATGTGTGACGTTACTTGATGCGCTCTTTCGCCTCCGCTGCACGCTCAGGGCACTCTAAGACAGCGCCTCCAGAATACCATTCGCCAATTTTCTCGCGCAGAACATCAAATAAACGTTTTCATCTCTCTCTCCAGACGCAAGACTATATTTTTTTGACGAAATTTGCAGTGTAACATGCAGATATGGGGCCTTTTTTTCTTTCTTTCAAGAACCGCCGATGCATAATTGAAATGTTCCATTTTGGCAGAGTAAAAGTGACCTTCTAGGAGAAAGGTAAGATTGGTATTCGGAATCGCACATATAAGAAAAATGACGACTTCAGCAACACCGAGTGCAAAAATCGCTTTTCAGTGATAGCATGACAGTCCTTTCGTTAGGTAGCTTTCATGACAGCTGAGTTGTGGAACAAGCATGAAAAATGCCGTGTTCATCGATTCTTACAGAAAACACCACTCCGGCCACGAAGGCTACCTTTAAAGACAAAAAAAATTGTTGTTTATCCCTCTTTCTCAGAATTGGTAAAACACAAAAGTTAAACGTGTCTTTGCAGCGGCAGTTGAGCATTTATTCAGCATTGTTTCACCACAAAGCCGAAAGAATGAGTGCTACAGCAACTCATCGCCAAGTCATGCAGAGAATGGCCAGCAGCAGCTGCGTGAACCTCAAGCGCAAAGAAGGCAGCGCATACACAGGACGAGCGCGGACTAACAACTGTCACAGGTTAACACCTAAAGCGCGCTGTATAAACCGAAAGGCACGCAAAACGCATGCACAATATTCGCAGGACGAGTGCAAACAACTTTCACAATTCTAACTTGTTTGTGTCTGTGCAGCGTGGTCTTTTCATAAGTGTGGCCGCGGCAACAAGCGAAATAATTTTCATGCTCTCCCGAATCAAAAGTCTGGTAAGCGCGAGCGCAGAAGAGACCACGCTTTGTGGAGACGGCGCTCTCCAAAGCGCGAGAGACGACGAACTTTAGAGCAGGCCCAAATCTGACCCAACGCGAGTTCGTCGCGCTATATCGTTACTGATGGCGAAACTTTATCGAAGCTTCAGAGTTCCGAGGGCCGCTAAATAAATATGGTGTATATAAATTATCTCCTGTTAGCCCTCCGACTGAAGGCGCAATGTGGCGCAGTGATTATCACCACGCGCTGTGGTTCGAGAGGCCGCTGCTTGCATGCCCCACAAAAAAGCCACTGCTTATAGTTTTTCTGTTACAATCTCTTAGTATATCATTTAAAACGTCATATCTGTGACGGAAATACGTCAGCGAAACCATGGTGGACCCCCGAACGATACGCTTTTGTTTTAAAAAGAGCAAAACAAGTAAAAGCAGTATGTCACGGAAGGGCCTAAGCAAGCTTCACTTGCACGGTTTTCTGCTTCTGGGGACGAGCGTGTGCGTTTGCTTGCTTTGCATTCAACTGTAACATACACATAAAACTTTTTTTCATTTTTGACTGTGCACCCACTGTGGAGATCTTACCAATGTCCTCAAATTAGACTAAAGATACGACTCCAGGCACCTTTGTAGAAGGCCCAACATTGGGACAATCTCAAGAAAGCATGATGCTTTGAAGGATTATGACAGCTATGGCCCGCGGCAGTGGCACGTACACGCTTATAAATGTATGCAGTCATAACAAAAATGACAAAAAAGTATACATGTCAGCAAAACATGAAAATTTGTCTTACGTGAAAATGTGATCCTGCAAAAGATTTTGTTCAAATATCCGACAAGTGGCTCTCAAACTCTGGCTACTTATAAACATTCAGCAGACGTGCATAAAAGTCAGCAGACGTCTCTTCAGCATAGTTTCACTAGTATGGGAAATCAACATGTGCATGTAAGTCCGTTGTTGCAGTGAAACACGTGATCACCTAAACAGACAGACAACAATGCCAACATATCCACGCAGTTATTGATGTTAAGTTGGGCGAAGCGTCCATCAGTCTGTCCGCGCTTCCCTCCGTGCGTTCGTTCTTGCTTCTATGCTTACGCCCATGCTTCCGTCCGTACGTTCGTTCGTACGTTCATCCGTCCATCCATCCGTCCATTCGTCTATGCATTCGTCTGTGGGTCCATCTGTCCGTGCGTCCGTCTGTGAGTTCAGCCATCCATCTGTGCTTCTGTTCATCAGTCTGTCTGCACGTCAATCTGTCTAGCGTCTGCCCATCCGGGCCTCTGCTTCTGTGTCTGTCCATCCATGCATCCAACCATTTGTTTGCCTGACCATCTACTGAAGACTCCAAGTACCGCCATATCACATCTTTTCGCTATATATAAGCCATATAGAAGTACCGCCATCCGGCGGATATTCCAAGGACTACACGAGATGTGGCAACCTCTTACTACTACTTCTAACTACATCACGGATGCACGACTTATGGGTGAAAGAGCTTCGCCCCTCAAAAGCAATGAGATTGTAGTACGCCTGCGCATTTCAGGCCAATAGTATCCTGGGTGATATGAGATTGAAAGAGAAATATCTTACTTCTGTATTCGCGAATTTTAAATGAACTTGTTTTCTTTCACGAATATGCCACTAAGGTGTTTTATTTTATTGCGATCGCAATTATATGGCCACTCATGGCTGGATTTTGCCACCACGTCACCGGCACTCACCGTGTATGTGTGCATCGCTATATATCTTGAAATGCAAGAAAGATACCCAGAAAAAGACTCTGGCGCGTAGAATGGAGCTTGAATCCCCTGAACTGTCAGCTCGAGGCATCAACCACTGCACCACCAAGGAGCACGTCCTTCAAAGTTCAAATGGCAAGCTCTTAGATGTACCCCTTGCGGCTGCTGACGGGCATATCAGGGGGAATTGTTTTTTCAGCATTACGAGCAAGATTGCGCAGTGAGCGCGCGTCGCGATATTGCTTGGCAGCCCGTGCTCTAATCTCCCATGCGTACTTTGCCCCGCTTAGTGGAGGGGAGCGACACTCTCTCGCGTGCCCTTATCTCGCGGTAGAGACGAGGGGAGGATCGCACATCTTGGCTGGCCTTGGGCTTTACCTGTAGCAATTCTGTAGTAGTTACCGGGCGCACTAAGGTCACTGCAATCATTTCAGTCTCTGTTTCCGAAAAGCGAGCGCTTTTCAGACACAGCAAAGTAACAATTGAGACGCCTATTCGCGTGCATCTGTACCTGTGAGTACGTTTCATGCGTCATTTGTGCGTGAGACTAAACGGGCACGTTTCGGTGTGCTTTCCATTTTGCTCGTGACCCTCCAATTTGTTGCAATCTCGTTCACTGCTTCGCCTTTACGGCAAAGCTGTGACTTTTCATTTTTTCTATATGAAATCAGTTTACCATTGTAGGGAGACCGAGTGACATTGCTCACCTTATTCCCAATGTACGTAGATGTTGCTCCAGCCACGCGCCATTCCAATTGAAACGTTGTGATAAAAGCCTGTCACTCAAAATGACAAGCAGTGATAGGACTTGTTCCCAGCGTATAAAGAGGTTGACCCTAACAACCGTTAAATTAGCTTGCAATATCTCTCACAAAAAGCCTCGTTTGACAACTGCGATGTTCTTTCACTGCTTTATTATATATCTGAAGCAACGAAAACATTAAATATAAGAATATCTATTGCGACCTCGAAGCTACAAGAACAGCGTACGCTTCAAATTGTTCATGCTCTTGTAGCACAAGACTTCGCCGGCTTCAGTACAAATGGTGCATGACCATTGAATCCCTATGCAGAAATTGTGTTGATTCTTCAATAGGTGCAAGCTTCGTTCATAACAAAGTGAGTACTACTTTATCCAAATACCAAGACAAGTATATTGTGTAAATGCTGCAAAACGTAAGAAGCGGACAAACTGGTTGCTGTAACATGCGAACGATGCATACGCCTCTTTTCGTCGCTACGATCCCTTTATGCAGAAAAACGCTTAATCATTGAGGTTCGAGACAAAGACGCAACTATCGGTCGTTGTACGTGTTTTTGTGACGGACGTGGATAAGTTCGCAACCGAAATGGTGAGAGGGCCTCTATGATGCGACTTGGGGATAATGGTTGCTCGTAAACGTGTTATGCGACCGAGGTATGCCACGAAAATACTACGGAACGTCACATGGTGGTAGCTGGTACTTGATGACAAACAACAGAGCAATGAGAAAAAAGACAAACTAACGCTAACTTTATAAAGCTTAAGAAGCACCGAAGCTGTTTGATCTTGGCGAGTGTACGTGGCGTTCTTGGCTGATGCCGAGTCCTTCTGTGGCACAGACTAACTGGAGTCGAACCACCGCCTGTCACACACAACGCGACAATGTGTGATCTCCAGGGCCAGTACAAACGTCGTGAGGTGGCTATTTAAAAAAACGTTGGGGTAGAACAGTCGCGAGGTCGACAAGATTGCTGCTGCCAGTGGCACTCGGTGGGACTCTAACGGACAGCTGGTGCCATTCTTCGGCTTATAGTGTGTATGCACCACACGAGAGTACTTCCCGACTCAAAAATTTTGCAAAAGAGAAATAAAAGAAATGTACTGGAAGGCTCCGGGCGATACATAGAAGGTTTCCACGAAGATCTGAAAGTAGCAGGAGCTTCTACGTTTGGCAAGTAGGTCCATTTTTCAAAAAAATTGGAGTGGCGGGAAGAAAAAGAGTAGATAACTGAGTAATAAACTGAGAGGGATGAACACCAGTGTACGATGGAGACCCTTCAGTAACATATAGGTCAGAGTGTAGCGAGTTGAGTGAGTTAGAAAACCTTGATGACTGGCACGGCAAGAATATCACGCACAAGAACAAACGACTACACAGGCGCTGGCTACCTACTGCGTGTTGATTGAAAAAAAAAACAATGAAGATATGCAGGATATGAAAAAAAAATGGCAGCATATCCATGGAGTGAATGATGGAGAGTGGGACGAAGCATTCGTCCGTTTATTCGTTCTTGCTTCAGTCCGTCCATGCGTCCGTCTGTGTGACCATCAATGCGTTCATTCGCCCGTCCGTGCGTGCGTCTGTTCGTGCGTCCGTACCTGCCTTCGTCTATGCATCCACCTCTGCGTCCGTTCATGCGTTCATCCATGCATCTGTCCGTGTGTCCGTTCGTCCATCTATTCGACACTCCAAGTACCACCATCTCGTAACTTTTCATCATATATTCCCCATATAGAAGCACCGCCATCCGCGGACATACCAAGGACTAAACGAGAGGTGGCACACGCACATTTTCTGACGGCTTGCGCTTCGGGTCTACTTCCCACCTTTAACCACCTCAAGTTCATGGCATATACTAGTTCACTGTATTCATGGCACTGCGGCCGAACGCTCACTACACCTTCCGAAAACCAAGGAGGTTACGCCCAGCGAGTATGACGTAGCAAACTTTTTCAGTCAGATAGTGCTCAATGTACATGCCAATGGCTGCTAATGGGAAATGAGAGACAGGAGAATTCGGCTTTTACTTTCTTACGGCTTGCGCTTTGTATCTACTTCCGACCTTTAATTACTTCGAGTTCATGGTATATACTAGTTCATTGTATTCATGGCACTGCGGCTCAATGCTCGCTAAACCTTTCTAAAATAAAAGAGGTTACACCCAGCGAGTATAACGTAGCAACCCTTTCTTGTCAGATAGGGCTCAATGTACATGCCAATGACTGCTATTGGGGATTGCAGCGTGCACTAATAGCCGAATGCTCCTGTCTCTCAACAACGCACAGAAGAAATCTCTCACCGGCACCACCTTCGAGGTCAAAATGTTATACTTGTTACACACTACAACGGCTACGAGGGATGAACGGGTGCCGCTGTAAGGAGCTTTGCCCCTAAAAAGTGGAATCATTTACACAAAGCAAAGCTAGTGCATATTGTTCTGATTTTACTGTAGTAAGGAATACTGAATCATCTTTAATGGCAATCAAACATTGTATTATAATTACGTTTGTAAATAAAGAAATGTTCAACGAATTAGTAATGTTGGTAGGAAAGAATTTACCAACAAACTACTCCCCCACCAGGAAAAAAACATAATCAACAGAAAAAAAACAATCACGTGTGAACGAACACAACTGCACACGTTGCAGTGAAGCACGTCCTCGTCAAAGTGAATCAAGGGCAGCTCACGCACGTGTCTTTCTTTTTATCATTTTGAATTATCCTGCAACTGCCAGCGTGCGCTTACCTAAACACGTGTATTTTTATGTTTTTAAATGAACATTTAGTTAATTAACAGCGCATGTGACGTCGTTTTTTTTTATTCTTCTCGATGTTCTCTTTGCGCTAGCCTAGCCGTCCCGAAAGTTTACATCAATAGTTGAGCACCCACTATGTTGGCTCCGTTCGTCATCATTGTCCTCACTTTTTACTGCTGAATTAGGTAATTCACCCGTGTACTAGCTTGTGCCGTGATCATAAAAGCAATAATAATGACGAAACGCACAGCTAAGGATAAGATTAGGTGGGAAACCCTAGCATCGTGTGACTCACCACTCGTATTGCCTTGCTTAGCAACTCAGGTAACTAACTGGAAATTACAATTACTTAGGTGCACATTGAAAGCTGAATGATAGGCCTGAACAATGATATGCACAAAATAAAGCAAAGCTCATATATGCCATAGGTAGTGATGTAATGGACATGGTCAAAATGCCACATCGGCGGATGTTGACCTTGAGATTCGTGTACCTAGTAATCTTAAAACCTAGCCTATATTTTTGAGAAAGCAATCTCATGCCTTCATACTGTGCTTACATACAGAGTCACACCTCATACTACTTTCATCTTTGGGTAATATATATGCCGTCAATCTTTATCAGCCGGAAATTTCGCGAAAGCGAGCTCTCCGGTTAATGGCAAATACAATGCATCACCGTCTCCTCAAATACTCAGTTGCCCAAATGTTTTATGTTTGTGCGAACTTTAAAACGTTAAACCCCACATATCAATCAATCAATCACACGTGAATCCTAAGTAGGGCTGTAATACAAGCACTACTACAAAATTCGAAAAAAAAAGTGAAGAAACAACAACAAACATGTGCGTTTCGAATCTTAGAGTTTAGGCGTGCTACACATTGCGAACTCGACAAGGTAACCATTGCAGCGCACTGAAAGAAGGTTGATTAGCGTACATTTCTTCATGTCATAAGTAATGTTTGAGAATCTGTATGCATTTTCTTGTTTAGACGTGCAGATTTTAGTGTCTTCACGCGTCTCAAAACCAGCCAGACTGTAGCTAACGTATATTATGCGTTTGTTTTGTAATTAGTTATATGAGAACATCTATGGGACACGTTATTACAGCAGAAAAAGGATAATCATCGCAACCGAATATATTAACGGCATTTGCACTGACTCGCTAAGTGTTTAGTCATTTATGCGTACAAAATATCGCTCTTCTGAAGTGTATGTTAAATAATTTTGTTTTTTTTTCACCCCCTTGGGAATATTTCCAGCCATTTTCGTTCACGTTCTGCGTCTAAAACCACAATACTTCACTGTAGCCCCACCATACGTAACGAAGTTAGGCCTACGGCAGCATCCACCGATTGCGATGGTCGAAGCAGAAATAATGAATGATAATAACTTTAAGGAGAATGCCGTAGCCATTCGCGTTGAGTTTCAATCGCCACCGATTGAATAAGATAGCATTCTATTATTTCACTTGACAGATACAAAGCTAAAAAACAGAGGCGATCGGCCAATATAAGGCATTCGCTCTCTGTAGCTCAAGTTCCCTGGCTGAATTTGGCGCTTGCCCAGGGAACACTTCAAGGCGACGGCGTCGTTGTTTGACTGAGTTTCCTCGATGGGAAGCACCATGAAAGCTCTTGTCAGGCAGCTGCGAGTGATCGCTTCCCGCACTCGACAGACAGCCGCTTCCAGCGGAGAATCTGCGCCCTATTGATGTCAGTGAAAATCAAAAAGGTCGTTCTCCAAGAGCCAAATAAACGGAGAACGAACGTAATTCATTTGATAGCCATGTGAGTCTGCTCAACTCAGACGATGGCAGCAGACGACTTGTAATGACTGTGCGCACGCTCACACTTACCTTGACTCCGCTAGTGCTCGCGCTTTGCTCTGCTCCTGTGCCTTTCATGGCGACAAATTGCAGCTCCTAGCAAAATCACTGAGCAGACTTCCATTTAGAGCACAAGCAGCTCCTTTGAGAGAAAGGAAACTTTCGCACAGTTACCGAGTATTAAATCACCGCTTGATGCCACAGCACCTCAAGAAACCCCGTGCGTACTACCCTGATTTCTAATCATTCACTACACTGTTTAACTCTGCTAAATTGCAGCGGCAAGACCTAATACTCAATACAATATTATGCCAAATTGCAAAGTTGTACGTGATCACAAGATTCATACAATCTTCAGACACACATGTTCTCAGTCTTGCGCAAAGACCTTATTTGATCGGCCCTCTTCACGCTGGAAGACGCCAGACTGTGTGCGTTCGCTTGCTCGGTAATCCCGTACTAACGACGACTCGCGTGACCAAATCGATTTCAAATTGGAGTCTTCCGTGCAGCCAACGGCTATTTCACGGCTGCTTGCCTTTAACTAAACGGAAGTATAGGCATGATGATAGTTATGGCGCGAGAACAGAATGACGACACGCAGACAAGAAAGATTTGTGGGGTTTTAACGTCCCGAAACCACCATATGATTATGAGAGACGCCGTAGTGGAGGGTTCCGGAAATTCCGACCACCTGGGGTTCTTTAACGTGCACCCAAATCTGAGTACACGGGCCTACAACATTTCCGCCTCCATCGGAAATGCAACCGC